ATGGGGAGTGTTGAATTGGGCTTTGTTTTTGGGTTTTACTTTGGCCCATCATCATCCTTGGAAAGCCCAATCATCTACCCATATGAATAGGAATGTCAAATTGACAATTATTCTCCACAAAGATCCAAATATCTTAATTAAGAGTGTTTGATTCCGAATTAAATGTATGTAACTAGGTTAAGAAATTAAAACTATATTTGTTAACTCTAGTTGGAATTTGAGAGAATTGAATTATGTCGTGCTACTGCTAATGTGCAAACATGTCTAGGTCAAACATGTCTAGGTCACAAGTGAACGTCAGAATTATATCAAACCATGTTATACAAACTAAAATTTATTACCAACATTTTGCTCACGTGAACTCAGAATTAATTGACACAAATTTAAAACCTTCGACCCTTCTTTCTAAATGGGGGTGCCCGGAGCACCTCATCTTGTCATTTCGTCGTTGCTCATTCCCGTTAGGCCTGAATGTTTGGCCTTTCCTTCTCCGCGCCCGCTCACGCTTCGCTGAACTATGGCGTGGTAAAGAGAAGAGAGTACGAAAGAATAGTAAACAGAGCACACCGCAGAAAGATTCAAAATATGAGAAGTCTCCCTTGGATTCAAGAAGAAGGAAATGAAGAACGGGAACGAAACGAAATGAGGCGTTTCTAGCTCGAGTTTCGGATGAGCTTCTCCCAATTATGTCAAATTTCTGATCAAAATGTGAGTTTGAATCCTCCACCCCACTAATTGTACTGAAAAAAATTTATTACACACATTCTATACACAAACTCATATTAAATGATATTGTGCTTCATAAACATAGATTTATTAGTAAAACTATGAGCCAAACATTTCGGGATCTCGGAAATCTAAAGTAGTCCCCTACAAAAGTAGTTTGCGCTAACAATAGGAAGGCAACAGTATATTCCAATCAAGGAAAAGAAATTTGTGATGATGAAAAATAGACAACAAACATTGTATTGTATATATACATTTTGATCAAGAGGTTCTTCAGTAGTTACAATTTTCTGTGTCAAATTTCAACAGAGAGAAAAGAAGGAAAAACAAGAAACAAAAATTAAACACTTGTAAGATACCAAACCCAAACCATTTGTGATCAGTAAATATAGAATTATTCACATCCTTCAATTTGTATTCTCAATCCCAAAACCCCAATCCGAGAGAGAGAGAGAGAGAGAGAGAGAGAGAGAGAGAGAGAGAGAGAGAGAGAGAGATTTGTTACCTCTGAAATCAGGCGGAAGACCAGGTCAAGGTTCTTCGGCAAATTGCAAAGACGAAAGCCAGTTTACTCAAAAGGCAGAGAAATTAAACCCAAATTCTCCATTTGTGAGATCAAGAAAGACAATGACATGGCCACTTTCTGGTTGGATTTTCTCTTCTTCTTCTTCTTCGTCCATGGAAGAAGACCAAAATACCCAACTCTCCGATGAACCCGGAACACCGCTCAACGATGACGGAGACCATGCCGATTATTTACGGCAAGATCCAGAAATCGACGAACAAAACGCCGCCGTTTCAGACGACGAGACCGACGCCGCAGATTTACGTCAATCTAAAACCAACAGCTTCTCTCCGATCGAGGATCACATTCCGACCGCCATCGTCATCCCCGCCAATGCCCCAAACAATGTCGTCACCGTCGCTATTCCGGCCGCCCGCATCCAGGAGCGACGTCCTCAACGGAGAACAAATATCTGGACCAATGAGGACGAAATTGAGCTCTTGCGCGGTTTTCTCGAATTCTCGTCGGATAATCGAATCTCTGGCCATCGCCTCCAGCAACAGGATGCCGCGGCGTTCTATCGCAAAATCAAGCCCAAAATTCAGCTCTGTTGCGATAAGAATCAATTAATCGATAAGCTCCGGAGATTGAAAAGAAAGTACCAAATCACTTCGAGCAAGATCGATTCCGGCGAGAAACCGTCCTTCAGAAGTCTCCACGACCGATCGACCTTCGACATTTCGCGAAAAATTTGGGGCCGTAGCTCCGGCAAAAAGCAAACGCCGGCGGAAGATAGCATTCTCGACGAAGTCCTCGCAGACATTAGCCCCAATTATATCAACATCAAGGTGAAGAGAGAGGATCCCGAAGATGAATCCGAAGAGCGCGACGATCTCCAGCAATCGACAAAACGGCGCCGCACGGCGTTTCTCTCCGGCGAGGCGAGCAATTCGATCGAGATTCCGATGAGGCCGAGCAGTACAACCGACGATATCGGAAAAATTTCAGGATTGGTTGAGGAAGTGGCGAGGGCATGCCTGACGCCGCTTTTCAAGGAGTTGATGAGTAACAGATGGCCGCCGATTGGTCTCGCCGGAAGGATTCCGAGTTACGGCGGCGGAGAGGCGGCGGATGAGAGGTGGAGGAAGCAGCAGGCGATGGAGATGGAGGTTTATTTGAAAAGGTTGGAATTGGTGCAGGAAGAAATTAGGGCTTCATTGAAGGAGTTGAGATCAAAGGAAGAAGAGAGTAAAAATAAGCTTCAAGATGATAATTAATCTAATATTCAATATTAATACTAACTTAATTTAATCTTTTAACCTTAAACTTTTTTTTTATACATTTTAACCATAAACTTTAAACTTTGATAATATGATTGAGCTATAACATACCATCATTCCAAAGTTAATATTATAATTTTTCTCGACAAATAAACAAAAGAAAAACGATTCGATATCTCATTTTATACCGCTTGAATTAAGAACTTGATTAACTTTTACTTAATAAGTTTGGAAGCATCTAAGTCAATTTTCATTATACAAATTGAACCTAATATTTAGAAAAATATGATGTAGTTTTTACTTTTCATTAATTTATATATAATCGTAGTTTTTACTTTTTACTAATGCTGTATATATCTATATATATAGAATTTAAAATGCTATTTTAGTTTATTTATCTAAAATATTTATTTTATTTAAGGTACTTTTGACTTTTATTCAGTCTAAAAAGTTACAATTTTAGAAACGAATTTTATATAAAATTAATAGAAACGTAATACAAATTTATGATTACATTTCAAGAAATTTAGCGTGTGAAATATGTACTAAAATTTTAATCCAAATAAATGAGGTAAAAATGAAAATGAGATAATCAAAATAATCCCTTTTAAAAAATTATAGAGACCAAAGTAAATATTTAGATAATATCAAAATTAAAATGAACAAAAGTTAAAAATATATAGGAATCATGTATTTTTTACTATGACACAATTTTCGTGGTTAATAAATTCATATATTTAAGAAATTGCTGATAGGTCAGGAACATATTAATTACAAAATTCAAAGTTCAAGAACGATCTATCAACACGACTCCAAAATTTTATACCTTATGATATATATAAAAATATGTATATTCCTTTTTATAGTATTTTTACAAAATAACATTTTACAAAAATATAAATAAGATTTTACAAAAATGATATACAATCAAATAAGATCACCTAAAAATCTATCTCACAGGTCACTTTGGTGACATTTAAAAAAAAGTAAGGATATCTTTATAATTACATATTTATTTCATGCTATTTAGCGTTATTTCCCTAATAATTTTGAAATTATATCTAAAATTATCTTCACTATTCTATCGCAATCTTACAAAAATTCAAAAATCAAAATTTGAAATTCCCGAAATTAAATCAATTTGAACAAAGTTTCGAATTCCTAATCCTAATGAGAATACGAAAACCTTGGACCTTATAAATACACCAATGGCGTCAAAATTTCAAAACCAATCCACAGATTCCGATGGCGATGAAGAACAAGAACAAGAACACTAACCAGTTGGAAGGCGAGGCGGAGAAATCTGAAGCCCTAAATTTTCTGATGCGAGGAGTTCATATACCGAAGAAACCGAGATCGAGATCGAGATGGGGCAATCGAAGGAAAGTTTCGAGGAAAAGCTTTCGTGCTTACATTCAGAGCTTAGGGATCAGTCCCGAGCGATTGCAGGAGAAGATCAGACACTTGAAGTATTCCAGAGACTATTCGTTTCTCTTCGGTGATGAAGAAGTTTTGGAAAAAATGTTTTAGTTTCCATCCAAAAATTGTTCGTTATTGATACCACCAACTTTGTAAAGGGATTCAAACTTTTTTATACGGGCACTTACTTTTTAATTTTGTCGAATTTTTTCTATCTCCAAGACAATATCATATATTTAGATAAGATTGAGATAATGTCCTTCATCAACACTCACCTTATAAAAATTACAAAATTTAATTGTCTTTTAGTCGTGAGGGCTAAGCTAGGCCTTAAACTTGAATGGTTGCAAAATTTAAAAATTAGATGTTGGAATTCTTAATTTGAATAACTGAAAATTTTTAATTGTTAGTAGATTTTTGTTTGAAGAATGGTTGAAAAAGTATAGAACACGACATATATCTGTTATGAAAAGAAATTATACAATAAAATCAAGATAATGGTTCTTCATGTGGATCACTCTCCTATAAATGCAACGTATATAATTGGATGAAATTAAAAGTTTCTGGATAAAATGAATTTCTTGGTCTTTTTTAGACTACTTTATCTAATTAATTAAACCTTATATGGGAATAAACATTTAAATTAACACCATCTTCGTAAAAAACAAAAAATTAATTAAAAATAATCATTAGACTACGAGTATATGACATTTTAAATCTAGTAAGGGTGTTCATGTTCCAACCATTAACCAAGCAACAAAAGAAAAAAAAATGCGTAGATGGCATAAAATAAATATCTACTTTTCAAATATAATAGATAGTTATAATTTTATAAAAATAGGATTATTACAAACAAAGTCAAACTCAAATGAGATTAAAAAAAAAAAGTAAACAACAGAAAATGACAAACTTAGGTAATATTTGGAAAAAATGATATATTTTTTAAAGTATATATTAAATTTATGTTATAATTGCAATTTTTCATAAAGAAAATACCAGAATATCAAATTCTCAACCTCAAAAAATAGTCACAGTTATAAAAGTCGATGAACAGCAAAAAAGAAGTATGATCTGAGTATAGATCTCTGAGGCCCTATTAGACTTGTTTATATATATATATATATATATATATATTAAAATCTGAATATATGTATACGTATGTATCTATTATATACAAATATATATATTTTAATGTTCAAGTTGCACATATTTCTTTGTTTTATAATTTTATTTTTCATGACATTTTCAAAATATAAACCAAAATTTGACAAGTATTTAAAAAAATTAAATTTTGTTTTTAAAATGTGTTAATTTTAAAAGATGTGCACAAATACCCAAAGAACTTACTACCTACTTGTTCAAGGGAAAATTTAATAATTTTCTTTTCTTTAATCTGCAGTTAGATTTACAAATTTCGGCTTTTTTAGTAGTATCTGTCCTTCCCGRCCTGCTGTCGTCAACGGTCCGCTTCCATAAATGAGAGTTGGTCTTCCTAGCTCACACTAACCCCTCAATTTTGGATCCAATTCGGAATTTTCCTTGGGAGGTATCGGGAAGGAATTGAAATGTAATAATAATATCGATTCATACGGATACGGAAGAAAAGGTTCTCTATTGATTTAAATCAACCAATTCAAATTTATTATTAATTTTAAAACGATTTATTTTGCTCAAGTATATAGAATTATATTTATTTTTATAGGCAATTATAGCTTTTAAAAACTTTTTAAGTTTTTAGAGGTTAATTTTCTCACTATATAAATAAAGATAGACTTAAAATCTTGATTCAAGAGAATATATAAATACATATTTAATATATTAGGAAAAATGAATGAGTAGCAAAGTTTTTTTTTTATGTATTTCAAAATATGTCACATGTTTTCTAGAATTTTCAAATAATATATCAATATATATTTACATTATGAAATATGTATATCATTTAGGTAAGGCTACAAGCTTAAAATTGGAAATTTTTTTAAAAGAAAAATATTATATATTTGAAAAAACTAAATGTAGTTATTATTTTCCAAAATATTTTTGCTACATTTACAACTACTTCTATCATTTGTTTTCCCAAATAACCTAACCTCCCAAATAACCTAACCCAAATATTTCATAGTTAGGCCAGATTGAATTAATTATTCAATAAGAGCAGTATGGATTACAAAATATCTCACCACAACCGATGAACACTCTATTGATTATACGAGCTTCATAACATGGATCAAACAAATCTAAAATGTGCTCAAAACGAGAAAAGGAAAATGGCTCAAATTCCTCCTAATGTATTTTCCATTTAGAAAATGTAAAACAGTTCTGCAGTTCTAAGCAAAAAACTTAATATAAGAAAATTGAGAATGCAATCTGATAAACTTGGAATATAACAAACCAACAACCAGTTCATATTCTACCAACAATGAGACTCAAAAAGGATGGGAAACAAGGAAATATATTTCCTATAATGTCAAAAATTTTGTCCTCTGAAAAGAACCAACAGTTTCCATATCACTAGTCACCAACAACCAAATAACTGATTAACATAACTTCATTTTGGGGTGAAAAAAAAAGTAAACTAAAAAAAGGACTATTAAAAGGTAGAGAACAGAATTCTGCAGATGATCCTTGGTGATAGGCACAAAATTCCAGCAATCTCACTTCTTCTTTCCTGCCTTGGCAGCATCCGAAGCCTTGGTCTGTAAAAAGATATCAAACAATTTTTTTATAAGAAACCGAGACAAGGAGCAGTTTAACATTACATCATATCATCAACTAGCCACAAGGATTTACTTACCTTCTTAACTCCACGGATTTTCTTGGCTCTGTTTTTCCTTTCCTTCATCTGCTTTCTGGATTTTTCTACCTTAGTGTCAAGTCCATTCTGACATAAGAAAAAAAAAGTCAGGTTTCAGAAATACCACTCAATTGCAAAAACTAAACGTAAGAGAAAAATTGTCAAATGCTGCACGAAAATAGATTGTAAGTTACCCTGATTAGCCTGTATTTTGGTTCATACTTCTTAGCGTTCTCAACAGAATCATATATCAAACCGAACCCAGTAGATTTTCCACCACCAAAGTGAGTTCTGAACTTGAAAACAAAGATAGCATTTGGGTCTTTCACATCATAGATTCTAGATAACTTCTCCTTCAGCTCAGCCTTTAGACCAAGAAATAAACATAAAATAAAATGAGCACCAGATGAAAAATGCATAACATAATTAAGCACCATGTATGCCAGAGCAATAATCTTTCAATGGAAATTGGCCAAATACACAAAAAGAATAGAAAATTGTAGAATTCTCCTTCATTAGTCTTACAATCAGATCCAGAACAGCAATATTTGTAGAAAGGTTAAAAAAACAGCTATTCAAAGAAAGTTGAAAAAATAGATGAACTGAAAAGGTTTTTACCTTGGACACATTGGGTCTGCCTGGATGAAGCACATCAATGACCTACATTAAACATGGTACAGAAAGTTACAAAACAATTTCAAAATTTCTTCCAAATCCATAAAAGGCAGAAACTCAGACAGTTTCAAAAAGCAAAACTTGGGACGAAGTCTCTGAGATATCAAGTAACATAAATCCCCAGCCTTTAAGCAATTACTCACAGTCGTCGTTAGAGGAGCAACACCCAAAACCCTAAACTCCAAATCATATGGAAACCAAAGGCTTAAGAATCCTGAATGACATCAGGGTTTTAGATCATACACAAGAAAAAAAAAAAGAAAATGCCGAACCCCTTTCAGCGTCAAACAAATGCATCCCAGTTAGTTCAGTACTATACCAAAATCCATACACGAACGAAGTCCGAACTCAAAACCCAAAACGAAATTAAAAAACAAGTCCAGTTCCATGTAAAGTTTCAGCATAGTAGAATCAAACGGTGCAGTACCGCTCCAAATCGAAGCCGAACAGAAAAAATGCGGACTGATGCGAAAAGATCTAAGAAACTCACAAATTGCTTCCTGGAGAGAAGCCTGTTGGTCATGAACTTCCTGGTCCGGATGGTAACTGCCTTGTCCGCCATGGCTGAAGATGCTCCGAAGAGAATGAGAGGCCGATTAGAGCTCGAAGAAGGGCGAAGGCGCAGAAGGAAACGGCAGCTCTCAGACCTTATGAGGGATGATAAAAGGGAGTGCGGCAAAACCCTAGCTGGTTTAATAAACTCCATGCGGGATGGGCTTTTGGGCTTTTTGGCCCAAAAGTAAATTATTGGATCTCATTTTGGGCCTTTTATATGTTCTGGACTTTCGCAGTTCCCTTTGGCCCAAAGATTATAGACCTCATTTTGGCCCTAAGTTGCAAGTAGAAAACCTTGAATTGGTAGCCTCTTAGAATATTTGTTAATTTGAAAAAAAAGCTATTAATTATTTTTTTTTGTAGTACAACATGTGGGGGTGATATATGTCAATTACTGTTAAACTATGCTCGCTTTTGGCAAAAAGCTTTAATTATTGATTAACTTATAGTAATTGATTAACACAACCCTAATTTCATTTAATATGATAATGAGTGGACAGACATGAAGATTCGAACTTCTAACCTTTAAAGAGGTTGTTGGGCACTAATCAATTAACCAACGTATCGTTAATTATAATTATAACCATTACTATTAACTGCTGGAATGACTGTAATGGTCAAACCGAATATGGCTCAAGTGGTTAAGACACCTAAAGGTCATGAGTTCAAACCCCACCCCAAAAGTTATACTAAAAAAAAAAGACTATAATGATTGATATGCGTGTTCTAAGATAAGAATCAAAAGAAATTGATTGATATGTGGAACAAACGGGCCCAAAAGTAAGTTATTGCATCTCATTTTGGGCCTTGTAATGCTCTGGACTTCTTGCAGTTCCTTCTGGCTCAAAAATAATGGACCACATTTTGGGCCCAAGTTGCAAGTAGAAAAACTTGAATAGGTGTTTCTAATTTTTTTTGATATACCCGTGGTAGGCCTGCGCCGGGGAGCATAGCATAGGCGGGAAAGGGAGCCCGACGACCTTTTAACCTTTATACCCCTATAACCGAAATGTGTTCTAAATTATTTGTAAACAAATATTTAAAAGAAGCTATTAATTATTGATTAACTTTAAAGTATTGGATCAACACCAAATTTCATTTTAATACCATAATGGATTGATAGACATGAGATTCCAAACCTCTGATCTTTAAAGTTGTTGGTGCTATAATCAATTTAACTGTGTTTAGATTAACCACTTAAACTAATAATCAACCAACATATTCTTCATTAACTTGTTAGTCGTAAGTATTGATATGTTTCGAGATAAGATTCAACAAAAGAAATTGATTGACATGTGGAACAAAAGTCTACTCAAATGGGGGGGATTGATGTTATAATAAGAGTGAAAAACAACACCCTTTTGTATGCTTGAGATCAAGCAAAGCAAGAGCATGTGAAGATATTTGTTTGTTTCTCAAAAGACGTGTGGGAGATGGTGAGACACATCTACCATGTGAGTCGAAACACATGATAAAAAAAAAAAAGAAAAAGAAGAAGAACAAATTTCTTCAAATTCCAATGAGGGTTGAAATTTGCCCATGGATTTGTTTTGTCACATCCAAATAAAATTATCATTGATGGGTCTAGTTATCTACAAGTAGGCTAAAAACTTAGATACTTTGAGACATTTAATTCAAATTTGTGTTGGCTACCTTTACTAGATGTTCAAGTATCTAATTTGTCACACATGAAAATGTCGAACATCTAAATTATTTGTAAATGAATAGCTTCAAAGTATTGTTTAATTAATGACATCCACGATCAATTTAAAATAACCCATTTTTTTATTTTGTGTTGGAGAAATTTATCAAACAAATATGAATTTATATAGTATCCAAGACTATTGAAAACGGTTCTTTTTATAAGCGACACTGAGAGATTTGAACTTATGATCGAAGTTTTAAGGTGACGAGATTTTGTGGATTGTGGGTACAAAGTGATAACTTTAACCGCATGCTTTTAACATATCTATTGATTTATAATGAATTTAGGCTTAAAGATTTGCTTACATTATGATATTTTGGTGTTGGACCATATACATCATAATTAGATTATTGATTTTTTAAAGTTTCTATTTTTGGTTGGAGTTTGAGAGCTTAAAAAAAGATGGTTGGAAATGAAAAATCATTTTTAGTTTTGAAAATTAAATTTTTAATAAATTATTTAACAAGATTGTTATCAATAAATATTTATAGAAATATGTATTTCAAGCAACATATAATAGGTTAGGTACGGTTTTTGTTTAAAGGATTTAGATTCTTATTAAATGATTAATAATAAGAACTAAAATATAAATTTTTGAAAGCAAAATTTAAGAATTAAAAATAAAATATTCAAAAGTTGAAGGATTAAAATAAAAAATTTGAAAGTTTATAAACGATAACCAAAAAGGGTTGGGAAATTGGAACTAAAATTATTTTGAGTTTATTTTCATGATAGTGATTATAATTGAAGAGAGTTGTAAAGAATATGATTTTTTTTAGGAAATAAATAGTATATTATTTTCCATTAAAAAAGACATAATAAAGTAGAAAGAAACCCAAAAGCAATCCACTCCTCAATATTGTACAACTTTGAGAAGATATACCTAATCTCACTATCAAAGTACAATTCAAAAAAAAAAAAAACCCAATATTTTTGCCAACCTTGTCAAGTTGTCCACAAAATGCATTTTATATAACCTTTTATTTCATTCTCGCTCCACACCTCTAAGACTATTTTTAAATTTATCTTTAGTTTATCATCATGAACATAGCACAATGATAATTGATGTGTATTCTTTCCCTCGAGGTCGAAAGTTTGATCTTTCATATCTTAAAGGAATCGAACTATCAATATTTGAAATGATATTAAGATGCTACACTAATTATGCGGAGATTGACAAAAATTGTTGTATTTGATACTAAACTAAAATTTATTTCAATATCCGTAATTTTAATACCGTGTAAATGTTGAGCATAAGTCTCATGATTGACTAAAATAATAATATGGTCTTGTTGCTTAAGGGATTGTTTCGTGTGTGAATTCTTTTAAAATGAGATTTTGCACTAAGATTTATGTTCCTTTTTCATGATCAATACAAGAAAATAAAGAATTTCATTTTCAAAGCAACTTGGTCAATAACCTAAAATTAAATCGAAAGTATAAGATATAGGTCTTTCGAATATTAATTCTTTTTTTCTTTCTCTTTTACACACAAAGAAAAGTATTTACGTTCTCTCTCTTTTACACACAAAGAAAAGTATGTTCATACATACGCACATGAATTTAAGTCAACCATTACTTACTCAGTCAAATATCATAATTATTTAATGGATATAATAATAAAATATTTCTTTTTTATCCTTTTTTTATTTAATAAATTTCTTGAAAAGTTGGAACATATTTTTCTCAAGATTTGGTCCAAAGTACATGATAATTATGTGTCATTATCTTTCATTAATAAATTGTAGATATTGAACCTTCCAAATGGGTTTCCTTTGTGAAAGTTACCTGATATAGTACTTATTATAAAATAAAGTAAATACCATTGCCATTTAAATATTTGATCTTCACTTAGACATATGGTGCATTAGGTAAAGCACCCACCTCATTCTCCCTCTAATATTTATCTTTAATATGATATTTATACCTATAACATATCCTCTAAAGCAACTAATTTGCGATCAACATCGTCATTAAAATTATTAGAACCACGTCTCTTTTCTACACCACATATCATAATTTCAAATAGTTTCCTTCCATTGATGACTTGAATATAAAGTTAGTAACTTTTACATGATTGAATGATACGTATAAATTTGATAAGTCGGTGAACTCGTCTAATCTTCTGAAACAACTATATGACCTTACAAATATTTGGTATTAAAAAATGTAGCCGAATGTTATCTATAGTTTAAATCATTGATCTTAAAAATATCTGGATTTACATTTGCTCTTTCTACCAGTGAGCTATCTTGTCGTGATTGTGCTTATTGGTCGTGACTTTACACTATGTTACAAAACAACAAGTACATTTTCTTTATGAATGATTCATATCATAATGTGGGCCAGGGGTAAGGCAAAGTATTCTAAGTGTAAATGAGGTCATCAGGTGGACCCAGAAAAAAAAGTGAAATGATCTTCTAAGTGATGTGGATAAACTTTGTGAGGAGAAAAGTGTTTGCATGGCCACATAAAAAAAAAGAAAGAAAAAAGAAAAAAAAAACCTTGTAAGAGACCTTTTTGAGAGCTTTGTCATCATAATCTATTCAGCAAAATTAACTTTTTTCTTTTTTCCTCTAATCATAAAGGACAACTAAAGCACTAAATGAAACACAGTTTCAGCTTTGATTCAGTGGGACCAAATCAACCAACAAGCTCAAGAAACTTTTTCTTTTCCAAGTAAAATCTCAAGGAATGTGGTAGAGAATAAGTGAAAATGTGAGAATTTTTATAGCTCATGGTTTTAACTAGTCTAGTTTATGTAGTTTGTGAATTTAGCAACTACAGCTTGAAATAGATAAACTCACATATCAAATGTATGCTCGACTTCTCGACCCAAAGCTATACAAACTTGACTCGTGAGCCGAAACACTCTTAGCATGAGCATACTAGCATTTTTCTTTGGGTGTGAGTGGGAGGAGACAAAACTAGTACATTCAGGTACATATATGTAATATGATAGAAAGAATTAAAAGAAAATAATGTGGGGATGTTTAGCTCACGATTTTAACCAGAATAGGTTTGTGCAGCCTAGCAAAGAGTTAGAGTTGGCAAACTTGTAGCATGAGATAGATAAACTCATATAGACATATACTCGATTTCACAACTCTAGACTATACATACTTAACGCGTGAGTCAAAACCTGAGGTTTTTGGGGGGTGGGGGGGTGTTGAGTCAAGAAATGGTAAATGTGATATATTTATTTTACTTGCTTTAGAGTATAGAATCCATAAAAGAATACAAGGAGTGACCTTACATTGTTATATATGAACAGCATCAACTGGAAGAGAGATTGTTCTGTGGAGAGAGCTTGGAATCAATGAACCAGTGCAGGCATTTTTAGCAGAGACTACCTTCTCCACAATAGGGGGTTCCACGGCCGTGCAGTTTCGGGCCCTTTGGGCATCCAAACTGCGAAAGCTATTATTGATATAAAGATCACTATCGATACTACTTCGGTTCGTGTCTTGAGCAGAACTGTCAAGGACTTGATTGTGGTTGCCTTGCACGGTTCCGTTTTCTGTTTTCTGTTTTCTGTCTTTATAACTTGAAGATTTTGACAAAATCCTTAACTGTTGATCTCTGAGCTTGCTTAATTCTATTTGGTACTTTGCTTTAATCCATCTCATTTCTTGCTGGATATCATCCTCATACTTACTTGGAAGTCCATATAATGAAGGGTTTTCCGAGAAAGAAAGGGAGCCCATTAGGTTCTGGGTCGAGGTTCTCGTATTCGAAGTAGTCTTGCTTTCCAATATCGTTTCTTTTGCATCCGTGACCAAAACTGGTCGATCTGTTTTCTCGTAATCTTCATCCGAATGGCTGTTTCTTGAGCTCATTGAACTAAGTTCACGGCTTTCATGCTGTCCCCATATTTCAGGATAATTCAGGCAATCCGAATGGTTCAACACCTTCGGTCCACCCTCAGCCACATGATGCTCGGACTCGTCGGCTTGATACATGATCTCCTCAAAACGACCGTGCATCGAAGCATATCGATGTCCACAGCATTGAGCTGCCTCTGAGTTCTTTCCACCAGGATCTCTCAACAAAAGACCATTCGAAGCATTGTTGAAAGTAGCACAATTGTGACAATAGCTTTGATTCGCAAAGCGGGGCGTTTCCTCAATTCCTGGACCCGGCCTCCATCCAGGCACCAACGATGCGATCTCTCCATCAATCATATCGGCAATTCTGGTCACATCTTGATCTGTAATATCCAGCTCTGCTACCATTTCTGTTGCAACACTTAATGCTGTATCCGTCTCAACATCAAATGGGAAATATATGTTCCTGATACGCCCTGCAAACGAACTGGTTTAGATTCTATGTTCGATCACAACCGAAGGATAATAATTAGTATAAAATGTTTTCAACAAAGAAAGAGTGAAGATATTTCAACCTTCTTTATCTGCAATTCTGAGTCTTAAGAAGATGCCACCACCTTCTCTCATTTTCCCTTTAATGCTAATATCAACATCTTCAAAATGTTCACCTTCACAATACTCAAAAAGTTCAATTCCATTGGTTTCGTTATCAACAGGATGATAACCTGATTCACTTGAAGCTTCAAAGCTATAATCATATGGATATCCGTTACAAAAGGAGCTATCACTTCTATGAAGTTCGAGATAAGGCTGTCGTAGGAGAGGACCGACGTCATCCAATCCTCTCCCATAATCGACAGGTCTTAAATCATATTCACCATTATCGACTTGAAGAAATGGGTCATTCAAAAGCTCCACTGCTGAGAGCCTAAATGAAACAGTTGCCAAACACTTATCGATGAACTGCCGCACTTCGAGATCCTTCACCTTGTACAAGGCATCTGGTTTTTTCCCCTAAAAATCTATAACACGTTAATCTTGTGCACATGAAGCATAAAAACACGCACACGGGAATGAAAAAAGAGAGAATCTTCTTACAGATATGACTTTCTTGTAGATCTGAGCCGGGTGAGTGCATTCGCTGTATGGATATTCGAAAGTTATCATCTCCAGAATGCACATGCCGAATGAGTAAATATCAACCAATTCATTATATGCCTCTGCATACACTTCTGGAGCCATAAACTCTGGTGTCCCTGTGAATCCATGACAAGAAACATCTCAGATCAGAAATATCTACTTTTTACTCAAAAAAGAAATCATCAATAGCATGATCTTTCAGTTGATGGTCTTCTCCAAATCAAACTTTGAGGGGATATATAATAAGCTTGAGTTTGTATAAACTGGATTTAGGTATAGGTTATAAAACATCTGACTATATGTAATTTACATTTAGTTTGCTTTTCCATGCTAGATCGTCATAGATTGAACTCATTTCTCATTTTTTCCACTGATGTTTAATAAAACTGTCTGTATATCCCAATAGGTGGTTTTCAACTTCCTCGAGTTAACCTATAAGGCGAACAATCTCGAACGGAGACAAATGGGGGGGTAAAAATCAGAAGCCATACCCACACAATGATCAGCATGGGATTTCCTAAGGATTGCTGCAAGTCCAAGATCACCAATCTTAACTTCCCCTTGGTTGCCATTAACAAAGATATTGTCACACTTCAGATCTCTATGGATTACAGGAGGCTCATGGCTATGCAAATAATGAAGCCCCCTCAATATCTGCCTGCACCAATGCTTCACTGCTCTAATATTTACTCTCTTATGCTTCAGCCTATACCTATGGCAGAAGAACAAAAACCCACCAAAATTTGTCAAAAAAATCCAAAGGACCAGAAATCCCACTATATTGGCAAAAAACTACAGAAAAACCATCCAAGTTTTATAGAATACTAACTGTCTAAGAGTGCCAGAAGTGAACATTTCAGTAACGAAATTGATGTTTCTATTGGCAATATCAACCCAAGAAGTGTAGAATTTCATGATGTTCCTGTGCTTCAATGTCTTCAAAAGATGAATCTCACAGTAGAGTCTTTCTAGATCTTCTGGACTCTGCAAGAAATCGTAGAGCTTCACTTGATTCCAAGCCACCTCGATTCCTTCATATTCATCAAATGCTCTGTAACTGCATAAAACCCAATTGGAGAACCAAACAAAAAAACCCTTTAAAATGCTTCAAAAGAAGATGCAAATATCTAGAAATGGCGAAATGGGAAGCCCATAAAATGGCAAGAAAATCGAATCCCTACACTGTTTTTGAAGCCCCTTTTCCCAGAATTTCATTGTACTGCAGACAAGAACAAAACGCAAAATCAGAAAAAGGAGAAGAGAGAGAAAGAGAGAGAGAGAGAACCATACTCTGCCATATCTGCCAGTGGGATCAATTTCGACGAATTCAGAGCAATCTGGCTCAAGATCTGAGAGACCATCCATTTTCTTCCCTCTAAAATTCGAGCTGTTGATTGATTCTTGTTCAATATGATTAAAATTGAAAAGGGTTGTTCAGTTCCAACGCACTCCACAAGAAGGAGCAGAGAGAGAGAAGAGAGAGAGAGAGGGGGGGAACGGGATTTTATAACATGAACCAATACTTTCTTTTTCCCACAACCCTTTTAGAGTGACTGAGGGAGGAAGACGAGGATTAGAATAAGGAAAGAAAAAAAAGGATCAATTATTATAATTATGATTCAATCGAGAGAGAGAGAGAGAGAGAGAGAAACCACGTTGATCCACAGGCAAGAACAGTGCCATCCTTTGAAAGTAGGAAGAAATAGCCATCCAACCACCACTTCCCAGAATCTGACAATTATAGAGAGAGAAATGGAGAAAAATAAGAGAGAAATGATACTCTTCCGAGTAGAATTTTAATTTTTTGTTTTTATAGCCTAATTCAATACATATATTTGAATTTCCAATCTCACACCTTGTATTTTTTAAAAAAGAAACTTTTCATTGGTATTTTTACTTATTCATCCCCATATCTTCCAAAAATAGAAAATTAGGAGGGTACTTTATAAACATATGGACCAAAATAACATATTTTATTTAGACTTGTCATGTCTACTATCACTAGTTATTTAGATTTTAATTTTAACTATAATCTTAACTCTATTTATCGATCGAAACAAGGTATGATTTATTCGATTGAAAGCATAAGTCAGAAATATTTACGTGGTTTTCCATATTTTTTTATATTTGTAGAGTTCTATACATTCTGAATTCAATTTCCAGTTTTTGGTGGTTGAGATTCATGGACAACACAAATACCAAGTGTATTAATATTTCCATATATTATGTCATAAAAAATTAATAAAATATAAAAAATGTCAATAAAATCGTATTGATATGAGCATAAAAGTAAAAAGAAAAAAGAAAAAAATAAATTTTATTCAAACGAGATGAAATATTTATTTGTTAATTCAGATCAATTTTATAAATTATATAAATGTTGGAGAAATGTCCATTGAAATTAATATTTTAAAGATACTTTTCATAAAATTGAGATTTCGAAATTTAAAACTTTGGATTTGATGAAAATTGAGTGATTTTTTGAAAGGGCCCACAAGAGATTTTTCTTTCTGCTAAAAGATGACCATGGTGACAAAGAAAAGAAAGGAGTTGTTTTTGTTTTTTAGGGAAGGAATTCATTGGCAGTCCTTTTACATTCTGTTTCCTTGAAGAAGTCATCAGATTGGAAAATTAACTTTGAATATACAAAATTATGAAAATATATATATAAAAAAAGTTGGCATCTCTCATAATTTTCCTTGTTGGACATTGATATCAACTAAGAACTACAAAACAAAATAAAAAATTTCATATTACAAAAGATGTTGGAGTTAAATATGGTTTTGGTTCTGGGTACTTCAATTTACATTTATTTTTCGTTTTTGGCCCTATAAATTTTATGTTATTCCTGATGACGCAATAAGAAGCATTTGAGACTTTGAGATATCATCTACCTTAAGTCTTGATGTCTTAAATTCGAACTCTGCATTGGTTACAGTGTTGCTTAGTCGAAATGATGAGCTCCGATTGTAGGGATCCACTAGCATAAGCCACCTGATATTGGTTTTGAGAAATAATAATTAAAAAAATTTGAGGATGGTTTTTGGTATTTTATATCCCTTTTATTTTAGATCCTTCAAATGTTTAAAATCTTAATTTATCCCTTAAATTGTAATCAAATACTATATTTAGTTTCTAAGATAATATGGATTTGACAGGTAGATAATGAATTTGAAATAAGTTTTAACTATGAGTATAATTATGAGGGCTAAAATTTAGATTTTAAAAGTTAAAAGAACAAAATATTTTGAATCTTGCTAAGTTTGAGTACTTTTTTTCTTTTTAACATAATTCATAATTTTGTGGCTAGGTTTGAGGACTTTCATGTTCTATATTTTAAAAATATGTTTATGGTTTGATTTTTAACTTGTTATTTGGTTGAATTTTCATTTGGATAACGAGCAATTTTCTAATTGGAGGATATAAATTTCACAATCTATTCAAGTTTATAATTTAAAAATAGTGAGATCAAAGTTTAAGATTAAAATAGACTTAATAAGCCAATCCATAAATAAAAAATATATTTTGTAATATCACGGTTGAATTAAGATCTGTATTGATGTGAAAGGAATATAAACGGTTTAATTTTGGTAAGTTCCTTTCAATATCGACCCTTTTTATACATATATTACGTCGATTATTTCTATAGACACCTTCCCTTTCATGTTCAAAATTTCTTTTTTTTTTTTTTTGATGAAAATTGACTTAAAAAGTCATCAATTAAGAAAGTTGACTCAGAAATTTTGGACATGTAATGTAATTTGTTTTTTCCACACACATGAGCTTTGAAAAATATTGTCTGTTTTTTTTCTAGACAAGGGTTTTGAAGTATGAAGATGTGGCAGATATTTTTCTAAAAGAAAAATTTGAATTTGTAACATCATTTTAAAAAATATTTAGAAGTTGTATTTTTTAATTAAAAATTCCGAATAGAAGTTATTTAAAGAAAACCCATTGCAAATGTAACACTTTCCTAATAACTCAATAATTACTTATTGAATTTTGATAAGTATTCTACTTTGATAATCATTTGTCAATTTCATCCTAGTTGAATAGATAAAGATATTTATTACTATTTTAAAGGTTAATGATTTGATCCCTACTCTCGCAAGGGTTGAACTAAGAAAAAATCATTGATTTTGTTACCTAAAAAATTGATTATTGGCTTAGACATTTGTTCAATATAAATAAAATAATCACTAGTCAACCTATATTATAATTATATTAACCAATAATTCAAAATAAATTATATTAACCATTGATTAGCCTAGATATTAATTTGACTAGTTTTATAGTGATCACTATCATTGCCTGTTGGCACGTCATTTAGGATATTATATTTGTAATATTTCATCTCAACTATATATATATAGTAGTTGTCACCAAGCATAACTCAACTTATTAAGATAAGGTTGTGAGTTCGAATTCCTGATCCCTAGATATTGTTCTAAAAAAGAAAGAAACATTATAATTTTTCCCAATAAAAAAAATCGAGAAATGTTTGATCTTTATGATTGTTGATGCATAAATTTGACTTCCTAGGACTCCGCAAATTTCGCACAAATCTCCTAGAAAAATGGATCAATGAGACCTGCAAAATAGAATTGCAATAAGACCGATGTGGCTCTTGCCATACGAGTTTCGATACTTAAGTTAGAATTGAAGTAGCAGGAGAGGAGAGTGATTGGCATACTCTAGGATTTGACTTACCTTTCTATTTATAGGAATAAATCCCGATACATTCAAGAATTAAGAAAGTCAGATCCTAGTGTGTTTTATAACTAGTATGGTGAAGAGACAACCTTATAATTGTTATTTTTATGTTGCTTCCCATCTAATGAATTTAAAATTCGTTCTCTATCTTTGCTCCACATATTCTTGTACAGTAAAAAGGTGGCTGGGGAGAGGAAAGGTTCCTTTTTTTAGGGTACCAACCCGTCTTTGCTCAATGGATACAAAACACTCATGCTTTAGCACCTAGTATAACGGCCCCCGGGCGGTCCGGGGGGACCACCTCGGCTCCTCTCTTCTTGAGAATCCATACATCTTTTATCAGTATATGGACAGCTATATCTCGAGCACAGACCAGATTCCAAATGAATGAAAACGTGACTGAATTGGAAGAGAAGGAAGGGATCTTCGTAAGGTGGGTTTTTATGATCCGAATCATTCACCTTTATATATGGAATAACTAGCTAATACTAAACAATTATTTTTAATTTCTTATCCTAAAAAATGTGAGAATAAAAATTCCTTATCGTAGCAACAACTCATCTATCATCTAACATATTTAATATACTCATCCTTGTTTAAAACATAAATTTTTCTTGGTTGATAGCCTTAAATCTATTTTTTATTCTTTAAAAATAAAATACAAAACCAAGTGTAGAGTTTAAAAGGAAAGAATCCATTTTAAAATCAAAAGAAACAAAAAAAAAAAAGAAGGAAAGAATCCATTTTAATATCAAAAGAAAAAGAAAAAGGAAAGAATCCAATTATATACGACATTAACTTTTACAAAATTTATTGCTTTAGATTGAATTGAATTTATTGCTTTGGATAATTTTTTTTAGATTGAGTTGAATTCTCTCTTTATTTATTGAGTCATGATGATGGGAATCTCAATTATTGCAATCATTTACTTTTAGAAAATCATTAAGTAAAAAAATGGGCGGAATCAATCCAAGTCTTTATTTTTTAGATGGGTAAAAACTAATAAATCATTGGCCAACAAGAGATAACAAAAAGTAAAGCCTCCTTTCACTTTCCCAAAATTGTCATGTGGAAATGATGAAATAAAATATGAAGTTATCCTATAAATATATATATATATATATATATATATATATTATAACTTTAATAAAAAAAATTATTGAAAAAACGATTTGTTATGTGATTTACTTTTCATGTAGAGCTTAGAAAGTTTATATATATATATATGTTTGAACTCGAAATCGCCAAGCTCATATTAGTATCAGATCGGAACGTACGAAATGAGCTTTTGGCCGCTGTTCCACACCTCCCCAGACCACTTATGAAACCTGCAAAACAAAGTTAGCACTCCGACGAGCAAGTTAGTTCTAGTCCGAGCTAACTCGCCAAGTTTATCTAGGATTGCGTACCTTGTATTTAAGGCAAAGGTTTCGATTTATAGAAACTGGACCCTACAGGAACTCTGACACACCCTAAAAACGCGGCGTGTTGTCGGGTTCAGAAGAGACCGCGTTACGGACTTTGTCATAGGTCGGCTCGGTGTCCTTGCTCATACTCTAACTGTCGACCTAAGTCTTTTCGAGTCAATCTTTACATTTTGTGTGCGCGTTGATTTAACTCGCCTCTTTGAACATGACACGTGGCAAGTCAGGATTCGTATCCAACAATATATATGTAAAAGATTTTCTTTTTTTTTTTTTTACAGTTTTTCTTATAATTTCACCAAAAAGAAAAATAAATTATTTAGAAAATTTATTTAATGATCCAATTCCTAACTAACCGTAGGGTTTGAAATCTTTTAGTTTTAAATTTGAAGTCTATGTTTTAGAAATTTTAGAGGTAAAAGCATCATTTTAAGGTACGACAAAAGTGACCATAGAATAATATTTGAATTCATGAGGGGTAACGATTGTTGGTAGACAAATTCAATAATATTTGCATCGTATTGGTGTACCTGAATGTTAAATTTTGAATTCATAATGGATACTTAACCAATTGAGTTGTCCATAATAAAGAAATTCAAGAGATAATTTGAGACAGTGTTAGAATAAGTGGACGTGGGAGAAGA